CCACTTGCCATTGATACAAGTTCTTTCTGGGCAAGCTCCTTGATATCAGATGGCCAACTTGAGAAGTCATCTTGGGCAAGACCATGGGATACATAGAAAGCCAAGTCACGAGTGTGTGCATCAGCATCATGAAGCTTGAGCTGATGAGCAGGATATCTATCCATGGCTGTCCAGATATCAGGCTCAGGCCGACTTGTCAGGAGAATATGTAGCCCCCTGATGTTCTTTGATACAAGTTTCTGGAGGGAGGAAAACAGTTCATCTCGTCGGGTAGTGCGTGGACACTCATCAAGAGCATCAATGATGATAACTGTCCCAGTGGAAGCCTGGAGGATCTGTTCTAGGCAGCTAAGGAGAAGCTCCCTGGTTGGCTTTAGCTTTGACCTATTCTCCACATAGAATTGCTGCAGAACTTGGTGGCACTGTTTTGCACAAGTGGCAAGTTGGTAGATCAGAGATGCCAATAGGCCAGTCACAGTCTGCATCTCAGCACGACGATAGTCAAAGTAGAAGTAGGCCACATGCAGGCCAGGGATGGACAGGACATGCTCAATGACAGATGAGCTATGGTTGCATGCTGTCAGCACCAAAAGGATGTTAACCTAAGGCATACACACCAAAGAACACTCTTTCCTGATCCAGCTACAACACAGAGTTATTGCATGAATGCTGCAGCTGACAAGGAAAAACTCACGATTTCCGTGAATCCAGTACACACCATTGCTGCTGTCCTTCCACTCTTTGAACTTTTGATCAAAGAACCACGTGCACGTGTCATCCAGATATGATGTTCGTCGCTCTTCATGATTCTGACTTGGGTCAGGGGGGAGCTAACCAATCACGAATGTCTTTCTTGACAGACTCCACTGTAGGTCTGGTCAAGCTAGAGTATATCTCAGAGAGGCTTCCCTTACAGCGCATATCATGAACTTTGGCCCCAATGTCTTGCAGGTTATTGTGCGCTATAAGTGCATTGAATAAGAATACACAAAGATACTCTGCAATGTGGTGATGACAGACCGGCTTTGACATTGTTCTTTATTTCTGTAACGTCGCCACTGACCACCTCGACCTTGGCGGCTATGCCTTGCACCACATCAAATGTCTGAGCGGCAGTGGCCAGAAGTTCCTCCTTGGTCAGCTCGTCTAGCTTCTCAAGAGCATCTTTCACATCCTTATTACCAAGGAGGGCCCGACCATATTCCTCTGTCTCGGTGATCAGGAACGAAGCACATCTGAATGCAAATGATCCTTACTCATGCGCGTGAAGGCAGCCGTGCGAGCTGACATCTGCTTCTTGGTGTATTTCGTGCAGATGGCGAACACGTTGAGCAGCTGGACAAGTGCGCGGACGAAGGTGCCTTCCAGCTGGTCGTTGAGCGCCGAACGTGCTTTCAAGTGATTATCAAGACGGCCAAGGACGCCTCCAAGCCTCGAGAGAAGCTCCTCGAGTCCATCGTATTGCTCGCTAACCTTGTTGAATACCTTGGTGACCGTGAGTCGGGGGGAAATGACAGGGCTGAGAATCTGAGATGCAATTGGGAGACGTACCTCTAGAAAGACCCCGAAGGCCGCGAAGATCGCTTTGCCGCCGGGTACTACGCTCTGCTCGTAGATGAGATAAGAAGATTTAGCATCTAAAGAGCACTCACGGAAGCCGCGGCTATCTCGCCACCAGTGTCGGTGAACAGCTTGGTGAGGGTAAAGATCGGCGCAATAATGGCTCTAATCCTCTCGCCGTGCGCGCGGAAAGCTTTGAAGTTACTCTTGTGTTCCTTGAGAATGCGAGCAACCTTCCCTGAGGATTCGGCCTTTTGCAATTGTTCGTAGAGCGGTGAGCGAAGGAGGTCCGAGCCCGTAACTTTCTTGTATTCCAGAAAGGCCCCCTCCCAGAGTTCTTGGAAGCGCGAGGAGCTGGCTGAGGGATCTTGGCCTCCGAGTCCAGATTGTGCTGTCGGGGTAGTAGACATAATCAAGATGCACAACCACTATCGAATATGCAATATGACGAGGGAGGGAGGAGAGATGAGACGAGACGAGACGAGTGTTGCGAGACGACTCCACTGACGAAGCGCCCTGATACTAGGACCGTGAGGCGATAGGCAGGTGGTGCCCACGGCGAAGCCGCCTGTTGACCCGTGGCAGGAATGCTGAACTTTAACAATGTTGACACTGGCTGCGTAAAAGCGATGTGCTTTCTTTGCGTTCATGCGCACTAGCGTTTCGAAGGATCGACCTGGGGATCACTTGAGACTCGACCGACAGGTTATGATTATTCATATTCAGATCTGACTTCTACGTTGACAGTCTCACACGCACTACTTCTAGCGAGCGTATTTCGCTGGCAGCTGGCTATCGGCAAAGACAGACCACTAATCACTGAGTACGCCGCTCAACGTAGTTAACGCGCCGTACAGAGATCGAGATCACGGGAGGCCAGCCTACTGCACTTAAATGTGCTTGTTAGAGATTCTTCGTACGTATCAGCGATAGACTTGCACAGGTTCGCGAGCGCGCGCACCTGAGGCAACCAATCCAGCTGTTGATACTCTTGCTGCACTCGGAGATGACGAGCGTCTTGTATCTGCGAAGATGTTCATCCGGGTCTGGTTGCGCAACCAATATCGACTACATTGACTCGGATCTCAGCCAGCACATAGAACAGCCAGTGTGGAACGAACCCGCCTGGTGCGAGGATACGAGGACGGGCGAACCAAGTGACTTTTCCCAGCCTGGACCCTGAATCTGGCCTTGCGCAGTAGTCGTGAACCAAGGAGCTGTGCAAAGAATCTAACAGTAGAATGGATTAGATTATCCAGATTTTTTACGAACGTCATATAGTACGTACACCTTCCAGCATCACGATCTACACACAAACGTACATCGGTGTGCTCTTCAGCTGCACTTGTGATGACAAGAATGGTTTAGGTTTGCAGCAATCCTGAGTTGATATACCTCGGGGACGTCCCGTCCGTTGCTGTATGGACTGAATAAGCGGCTTATGTGTTAGCGGAGAATCACATATAGGACTTGGAGACGTTATAGTGGTACGAGTCAAACAGAAGAGATGCTCCAAACTATATACACGTACCAATCTGTTCCTGGTCCGCAGCCGGAGCGAAGTTGTGCAGCGAAGTCGTAGCGAAATCGGGTGCGGAGGTGAGCCAGATATTCATCATATCTGTCCGTTGTCTGGATTGATGGTTAATCGCACGACTAACCTAAGAACGCTGACCGAGGAATGAAACGTACCTTTGGTCATGGCCCTGATATCCCGCACACAACCCTGTCGTGGACACCACATAAGTGTAAGTATTGCTCCCCCGGCGCTTCCGAGATTCTGAAGGGACCCCGTGCACCATTTGCGTCGTCCGTTTCGCTCAAGGTAACTCGTATCAGTGCATGGCGGAGGACGTGATCATATAGATCCCGATGAAATATTTGCAGCGGAGCATAAAGCACGGATGTGCCGCTAGACAACAACAGAAGTACATCAAGCGTCATAGTTCGTCGTGTTCTCTCAATACCAATTTACTGCAAATCATCCCGTCAGCAAACGCCAGGAGTGCGAGCCGCCAGCCAAACTCACACCCAAGCGGCCACAGTCGTAATGGGACGATATCGGCGGTTGTCTCTTCTATAGCCGCCTCCGGCACACCAACATCCGGCCTAGTGGTGGAGATTCTCGCCTGTCGTAGGGCGGATGTCCGTCCCCATCTGTGTAGCCGCTACCACGGTCACGAGCCGATGAAACAGGGCTCACGCTGCGCGGAGGATAGACTCTCATATCACGTTGGTACGCGCCCGAGACCCTGGCAGTGGTGTATGCAGGCGCGGTGGTGGCGAGTAATCGAGCCTGGCGTCGGGCGCACTCGGTTAGAAGGGGAACAATATCCCAAAGGGCCGTATCCATCGTCCCTAGCTCGCTGCAGTGGCCGCCAGAGGTCGTCGATCGGTGCGCTGGTACGGCGTGGTGGGCTGGGGCTGCGATTGTGAAGTGCGCGAATCCGCTGCAGCCGCCGGGGTTCGCATCAACCAGTAGATAGCCAGCACGTTTAAAGCGATCACGACCCCGGTCGTCAAAAGGGTATTCGTCGGAAGGACGTGAACTCGGAGGATGGGTGTTAGACAGGCGGGCAGGCGGAAGAGAAGACAAAGCAGAGAGATCGCCAGATACTCGACATTCGCGTTCCTCACGAGTCTCCCAGCTGGTGGGGGCGGTGCGCGATCAGTGCTCTTTCCCGGTCATAGTCGCAGTTTCGATCGAGGACAGGCGCATATTCGTGCTCGCAATCGTGCTTGTCACAGTCTTAAACATACGGCACGCTTGGGGGAAGCTGTCGTCGCGCCGATCACATCCGTAGCTCGGTGGTGGAACATCCCCTACGAACTGTGTCACCAGGGTAGGATTCACTCCAAGGCCTGTCGCGATCAAACGGAGGTGTTGAACGACGGCATTCTGCTCACGGTGAGTGTCCACCGAAACGAGGAGGGTTAACGTCCATAACGTCCGAGCGACACCCCCTGAGTCTATCGCGCTCGTACTGGTCGGGATACAACGCACTTTCTCATGGACAAAGTTCGTCATGTCTGGGAGAGAAAATCTCTTCTTAAGGCTTGAGGCCGCGTGGTGTAAGATCGTTACGCACCAGGGACAAGGGTCGAGTTTTCGAAGGACGACCAGAGCTTGGTAGCAAGTGATCCCTTAGAGGAGAGGCCCTTGTGAAATGATCATTTGCGAGAGGTCGACACGATCTTCAGGTCGTGATGGTCAATCAGGAAGCGGACGCGCATCAATAGCGGAAGGCGAAGTATTTGAAGGTCGGGGTGAAGCTGGAGCAATGTCCAGAACTAGACGTGAGGACGTGGAGTCTCAACATTGCGCGGCGGTGTCGGGGTCAAAATGCGTGGACGCCCAAAGAATCGTCCTCAGCCAATCTCGGGCTTCGCCAGTCGGGGACTGCGTCGGACATGAAATTGCATCAACGTAGAATTCTTCCTGCACACGGCGTCGTGTACTGAGTACTGGGTACTGGGTACTAAACGTTTTTACAATTTACTCGCTTGTATCTCCATCCCAAGTCAGCTTGCTCTATCAATGTATCGCTTGCAATACTTTACAGGGTAGACATTGAGCGCCTGTGTGATGTCGGCGAGGAGTAGCTCGGGGAGCTTTCACAAAAACAAATAACCCCCGCCGCCAAGACGTCATCGCGTCTCTCTCTGAAATGCTGCTGCATCTTCGCCGTGCTTCACATATCCCTTTGCAACCAATTTACACCTACCTATTTTCTGTATCTTCGAAAACGTTGCCGACGTGCAGCCACAACTTAATCTCGGACGACAGCTCAATGAAACGCTCTACACCTGCAAGATCACGTTCATAAAAGCCACCAGCGTCCCAGTCGCCGACTTCAACGACCTGTCCTGCGACCCGTACCTCCAGGCGACGCTCACCGCCGAGAAGGGTCTTGAACAGCCCGATGGCATCCCCCAGATGCTCACCTACCGCACCCAGACGTGCCGGCGGATGCTGGACCCAGAGTTCAATGCGCACTGGGTCGTGTCCGGCATCCCCCAATCGGGCTTCCTGCTATCGGTGCGGCTACGCGACGAGGATCCAGGGAGCTACGACGACGACCTCGGCAGGCCGTCTTGCGCATGCCGAATGCGGGCGAGGGCGTGCTCTCAGAGAGCTGGCGGTCGGGC